GGTGTTGGCATGGTGCGGAGGGAGCAGCAGCACAGCCAGGCCCACCCCAGACAACAAAGGAGACGGGTTTGTGAACAAGGCAAGCCCTTCTCTCCATTCCCACACACTCCTCGCCCTGCGATACTCCCTTCTTCACGTTAAGTGGCATCTCACACGTGGGTTAGGTTTTGTGCATGAATACAGCAGTGGCCAATACCAGATTAAAAAAAAAAAAACCAACAAACAAAAAACCACCCCAAACCAACCACATTCAGGAAGAACCAATGAGAGATCATTCTCAGAAGAGAAAGAGTATCTTAAGGTCACTTTTTAAACCTCTTCTTCCCCTCCTTTCCACCCACACAGTGAAATTATCAAGTTTCCAGTAGGTTGAGCCGTAAAAATGAGAAAAGGCAAGTTTCACCCTGATTTAGGAGAGTAAAAAACATCTGAGAGGAAGCCACAATAAAATGAACTGACCACTCTCACAGTTTCCCCAAATTAAAAAGTTTTAAAAAGGCAACAGTCATTTCCTGGTTCTGTAATTTGTTAAACAAGCCTAGATATCTCAAGACAAGATCTGTTAACATCTCAGCAAGTGTGAGAGAGTGGGGAGGGAATGTTTTATACATTTGTGGGGTTTTGTTTTTCTTCCCCCCCCCCCCCTTTTTTTTTTTTTTTTTTCTTTTTTACAAAAAGATGCAGCATATGTTAATATCTATACAATTCCCTTCCAGGAAAACAAACCGTTGGTCAGTAGTGATTCAGGACATTAAGGACATGACAGAGACGCAAGCAAAACCAAAAAATTACGTCAGTTGTCTGCCAGGTCAGCATCTGCACAGGGTTCTCTGTACACAGCTAATATACACACGTGCTTCCTAGCACATCCACTCTCCATTCCTCAGCTTTCCAACACTAGAGCTGCCTTTTTTTTTCCCCCCCCCCCCTTCCTCTTGGTAAGGAGGAGGAAACGAAGGAGTTACATCCCCAAAAGGAGTATGTACAGCTGAGAACTGGGCCTGTCCGGGCTGAGCAAAGGAGCTGGGGAACGAACCGTTCATTCACATGTGCATGGTCTCCTGGCAGAGATGCTGGCGCCGGAGCGGAGGCGTATTGCTGAGCCGTGCGAGGTATAGTGTTCAGTTCCAGCCTGATGGCACTCGAGACGTGTTTGTTCCAGTGAAATGCTACATTCAGACAGGATTCCCCTTCCCTGGCCGAAAGCCCTTTTCTGGATGTGTTTTGAAGGCAAATCTTGGAAGAGCCGAGGTTCCACCCTCACTGTATTGCCTAGGAGAGGGACGCAGAGAACTTCCAGTCCTCTCGGGTCTCTTGCTCCCTTCTTGGAAGATTATGGTCGATGGTACCTAAAAGCCAAGTGAAAAATCCAAATATCATCCTTGGAACTCAGGTTAAGTGGTTACTGAGGCACTACAAATGGCCAAAGAGGGTAAACTGAAATATCTCTGAATTCTTGGCTATCAGTGAAGCTGTTGATATCAAATGATTTCACCTCTGCCTTAGACAGCTCTTGTGCTCTGCAAACACTCAGCCACACAGCGCAATTTGTTGAGAGGGAAAGAATCACTTGGGCCATGATCCACAGGTTACTTCCTAGATAATATCCGAGCTAACTACCAAGGTGTTCTGTGGCTGTGGCTTCTGCTGCACACGTCTGTAGCCCCAGAAAAGCAGGCTCCAGCTGCAAGGGCACACTGGTTTCAGATGCACCTCAAACCAGCCACTGCTCACTTTGAGTTTCCAGGATTGAAGCCCCAGTTTAAGGAAAAGCAACCCGCTTCATGTTTGCTACTCCTCCAGTCACCCAACACCACCAAGGCAGAAAGGGACATTAAATCTCCAACTGCTGTACAGGTCATTTTTCTAAGGTTTTAATGTTTCACCTCAGCACTACCCCTGCAGCACAGCTCTCCCAACAAGACTGAAACTCTGAAGTGCGTAACGAGTTCTCACCTCGTGAACTGCTTGCTGTCCTCGTGGACTTCCATTTCACAGCTCTTAAACTCATTCAGCTCCTTCCGGATGGCAGCCTGCACAAAGAGGGAGAGATCTTTTTTTATCTCTTGCTAAGGCATACATATATTACCCTCTCTCCCATTCTCAAGTGAGCTCAGACGTGGCAAGAAGGTGCTGCACCTCCAACACCCCTGCTCAGGGCTGGTCTGTACCTTTCGGTGATGAAGAGCTAAGAGCAGTTTTGATCTGCAGGGCTGAGTCCCACAGCTCCTTTGGTAAAGGAAGGAGCTCAGATTGCAGCAGCCACCCCAGCTTTCACAGTCTGTTCACACTAGGCTGAATTTAATCTGCCCCACCTCCTCCACGCCGAGGGCTGGGCAGTCCCCACAAGAACAAATCGCTTCCCTGCCAGCTTCTCCCCTAGGCCTGCCTCAGCCTGCAAGGAACCGCGCTCCTCTGACCAACGCCCTGCACCTCGCATCCTCTTACATCGCTCGGAAGCTGAGGCAGAGGCCACGCCGGTGTGCAGACCATGCCCGCTCGGGCTCCATGCCACTGCGGAGGGGGCAGGAAGCAGGGCTGGGTACAGCACCGGTGCGTGAAGGGACACCGGTGCTGCTCGGTGGGGTGGCGGAGGGAAAGATGCAGAGGTGAAGCAAAAGGAACAGAGCAAATCTCCTTTGGCTCACGTCCTTTTGCATGGGACATCCCAATCTGGCTCCCCGCAGCTGGGGACAGGGCACTCCCTGTTACCTTGTCAGCTGGTGTTAGCTTTGTCCATGGCTTATCCGCTCGCCGGTCATAGTCTTGAGCATCTGTTACTTCCACATATTCGTTAAACCTCAGGATCTTCCTGGCCTGCAGCTCTGCCACTGTAGGCCTTTGGCTAAGCTGAACACCAACAAGAGCAAAAAAAGTTCGTTTGTGCCTTGTCCACAAAAGCAGTTCAGGACTAAGCATCCTGAGCAAAACTAAAACCAGTTCCCTCACCCGGCCTGAACCACAGATACTGCTAGGTCCTGCTCGCAGCCTGCAAGGGAATCGGCAAACCCTCCTACAGCCTCCGTAATCTCGTTTGGATCACGAGGCCAGGCTAGGGCAGAACCAAGGCCACGCTGCCAAGGAGAAGGAAGACACCGAGGGGTTTGGGAACAGCTATTACGAGGCTGAGCCCTGCGTGACACCCCGAAACCAAGCAAGCACATTCCCACTTCATCAATGGCAACACTCACATATCATACCCACGGGCCCTTGGGGAGTTTTTCCCAGCCTTGAGTAACAACCACAAGTAACTTGGATGTAATAGCTAAAAGCAGCTGCTGCTCCGCTCAGCTTCTCCCACACTGCTGTTACTTTAGAAATGGATTTTGGGGAGCCTGGTGTGAGAAGTCACGGCCACTGAAGTACTGTGTTAAAACAGCCAGGCCAGCACCAGCAAAGCTTTCAAGTGCCAGGTGCCAAATTTAGTTCTCATCTAGCTTGTTACGCTCGATGCCAGCTCAAATCTATCACCGACAAACGTGGCTGCAGTGCCAACAGCTCACCGTCAGTGACAGTCCACGTTCCAAAGTCACTGCTGTCAGAGGGCACTGGGGACACTTACACAATAGCCCTGTGACTTCACCCACAGCAAGGTACCTACAATGTGCTCATAGCCACCACCATCCCCGACAGCTCTGCCAGATGGCGATCACAGCACGGAGGCCAGCAGTACCTTTCTGGTGAGCCTGCGCTTGATCTCTCGCTTCTCAGCTTGACGGTCAGCTTCATTTTTCGCTGCCAAGGGAAAAAAAATTAATTTTTCCTGTAAGCATCAAAACCATTTGAAAAGCGCTTTCTGGACTTGAACAAAGGAGAGTGTCGAGCTGTATTGCATTATCTACACATCTGAAAGCTCGTCGTGACATGTCTGCGCTTATTGCCGGCGGAGAGCGCGGTCCAACTCGATGCCCTTGCTCACCAAGCACCGCCGACCGACAGCGGCAATGCAGGCCTGTACACAGCGCGGGTGGGCCGTTCTCTCCAGCCCTCTGTACGTTCAAGATTAACGGCCATATTGTCAAAATACATCCAAGTCACTTTGCAGATTGCTCCTCCCCAGAGCTATTATACTAATAGTTTAAAGAGAATAACAGCACAGATAAATATTTTAAACAGAAACTTCCTGAACTGACATTTCCCTTTCCTCAAGATGGTTATTTAAAATTTTTGCAGAGCGAGGTACGGCCAAGAGAAACACCACTGACTGAGCAATGCACTGCTGCTTTTTGGATCACGCAATACAATGCTGTAATGTCTGGACCACAAATAAAAGCCCAGTCCTAACAAAAACACCTTTAGCAGTCCTTGCTGTGTAACACCAGAGTCTTAACCAGTTCCATACTTTCCCTGAGGCGGCAGGCAGGGTACAGGTAGCCTTTCTATAACACGATGCTCTGAACTGTATTGCTTGGTACCACTGCTAAGGCCTGATTTTATCCAGAGCTGGTTTCTGACAGTAAACAAGCACTGGGAAAAATTAGTGGAACTGCTTTACTGCAGCGTTATAACCAAAGCACAGTCCTCCATCTCTACATTTCAAGCAGACTCCAGGTACACCCAGACTAAGATGTTAAAGGCAAACTTAGGACCACTAGAGAAGCATTACTCACGTTGAAGTATGTTCCTCTGCTCCAGTTCTTCTGCTGTCGGTCTCTGACTCAGTCGCCTAAAGAAAAGTGTGACAAGTGCAAAATGTTTTATCTGCTCATTCATCAGTAGGGGATGAAGAATACAACTGCTTGGTTTTGGTGCACTGGACAGCCTCCTCAACACCCCTCATTCACCAGTGGAGATCACTGCTGCCCCGTTTTGCACTCTCCACTCAAAAAGCCATTCACCCACAGGCAAAGGTTTGGAAAGCGCTACGGCCTCTCAAAAGCTCAGAGGGAACTTTGCAGGGAACTCAAGGAGATGGCAGAGCCTGGACTATCAGCAGCCCCAGCTTAATCCACCACCCAATGCATCAGCACTCAGCCTCCGTCTGTCCACGTCTTTATACGCCATCCATATTTTACGGCAGTAACGTTTCTGTAGTCCTTGAGATTTTCCCCTCACAGCCCATTTAACATCTGGAAACAGGGGTCTGTCAGGGGACATTGCTCAACTCCAGGAGGAAATTTCAGCTTTTAAACAGAGGGGGAAAAGCAACACGTAGCCTCCCAGCCCTGATCCCGCAGCAGTGCCCAACCACCCATCATATTCCAGCGCAGGCTGCTGAGACAAGGCGACAGTGTTGCCCAATCCCACCCCTCACACGCTGCGCCAGCGGCTCAAACGGAACACCCGCCTCCATTCTTCGTACCTGATCAGCGTCGTCCCAATCTGGTGCCGAATTTCGTTCCCCTCCTCCCTGCTCTGCCGAGGGAAGACAATCTTCTCCTCCTGCGGCGTGGTTGTGTTCCCCAGCTTTATAGCTAGCGTGTCTTTCCTCTTCACTTTGTTAGCCAGCGTGCCTGTGGGGAGGAAGAGCAACGGGATGCAACTGCAGACCGCAGAGCCTGAGCGCAGCGATGTGAGCCGCGTGCCCCTGGCAGTTGTGCTCTCCCCTGGAGTTTGCTTTCCGAGCTCTGCACTACAGCTCCAGAGCTAGCCGGAGCTAGTCACTACAGCAACAGCCAGCATTTCTGCGTGATGCCCACACGCTCACCTAATGCTGTCCCACCTGAAGGGGTGGGACGGCGCAAGCTGTTGCAGGAGCCATCTGCAACAGGAGGGGGTGCATCTCAGCAGATGAGCACACAGGTTTGGCTGTAGAGCCTTTGAAAAAGTGAGGAAGAGGACATGTGGTACATCACGAAACCAAGAACCAGCTGCTTTGAAGCACTGTGTGAACCAGCTCTTTGATCCAGATCTCCATACAGCCAGGCACGAGTTCAGCAGAGGGGAAAAAAAAAAAAAAAAAGCCAGCTGCAATGTCAAAGCCTTACTGTTATGACTTTCATCTTCTTCCTCATCCTCATCGTCTTTGTACAGGATGGGCCCCTCCGAGTCAGAGTCGCTCATCCCTTCATCTCCTTCCTGCTCCTCTGGCAGGACCTGGGGTACCAGTTTTGGGATGACTGTGACAGATGGCACATCTCCAATATACACACGAGGGCCCGAACTCTGCTCCTCTTCCTGGTCATCTTCTTCCTCTTCCTCATCGTCTGGACTAACGAGAAGCACACTATTACATCTCTTAACACATGCCACAGGGGCTGGGAAATACCCCTGAGGTCAACACCTCGTTAGCTCTCCTCAGCCCATGGAAGGCAGCTCTGCGGGTAGCCCAGGCACCAGAGATGCAAGAGCTGCCCCACGGTCCTGCACTGTCCCCTCTCTCCAAAGCCCGGGGAGCTCTGGCAGAGGAAGTGCCAGAGGCAGGCTCTGCGCAGAACCAAACAGCCCTCTCGCCCCTCTCCTTTGGGCCTTGCAGTTTCAACTCTTTATAATACAAGACAGTCCTTTTCCCACTTCTGTTTTGCAAAATGAAAGGCTAAGGAAGGCCACAAATGAATGAAATCCAGGACCTTGTTTTGTCTTGGTGCAATTAAAGACAGGCCAGGCCTGGATTCCTGGCATCAGCCTGCATTTGTAGTCTGGAACCCATTTCCCTTTGTGAGCAATTAAAATCCCAGAACGTGGGTTAATTTCATGGGGAAGAGGCACTGAAACACAGATTCAGCCAACAGGCAAAATGTTTTCTAGGCTGTTGCAAAAAACAACAAAGAAACCAGCCCTGCCCGCAACCCTCCTCACCATCACAGCCTCGCAGAAGCGAGGAGTACAACACCAACATGCCGGAGCCCGGCGTGACCGCTGCTAGGTGTTTCCTGCACACGGGTACAGGAGGTACTCACACTTTCAGCATCTCGATGGTGACAGGCAGGGACCTCGTCCTGCCCAGGGTGCCGTTGTCTTCTCCAGAGCCATCGTTCTCGAAGAGCAGCGAGTGAGCCCTGTGCGACCCTTCCGCAGGCGGGGTGACAGGCAGAGGACTGGCCAGAGCCTGCTGGATACGGATGTGCAATGGGATTTGGGGCAGACGAGGCAGCACGTGAGGTTCGCCAAACCCTTGCTTCGACACTTCCAAGGATCTGAATTCTTCAGGAGGAGGAGGAGGAAGAGTCTCTTTGGGTAGGTCCAGGGAGCGCGGAGGGTCCGAGACAGGGGTGGAGGCAGGCAAGGGCATGCGCGGAGGTTCGGGGGGTATGTGCGCGGGCAGCGGCGGCGAAGGCGAGGGTGGCGGGTGAGCAGAGGTGGCATGTATCGGTGCGGGGCGGTTAGCTGTCACTGTCCTGTCGTTGGGGGGCTTGGAAGCAATAGCTGCCTCTGACGTGTTGTTAGGCAGGAGGCCTCTCTTTGGTGGGAGAGGAGGGGAAGGCTTGGACAAGCCTGTACCACTGTTCATTGCTTGAGAAAGTTCAGCTGAAAATAAAAACCACAAAAGCCACTATATTTAACAGGGCATTTTCCAGATATCCTTCACCAGTATGGAATAAGCATGGCAAAGCACTCGGGGCCTTGGACCACGCAATCTCTGCTGCTTTTCTGCTAGAACACGGTGCCAGAAATAACCAGGTTGCAAGCCTCCAGTTTGTCCTTCCTGCAGCAAAGGTAAGACTTGGGAGAGCAGCCAGAAACAAGCAGGCTGGGAGAGGTCTGTGCATCCTGCTGCTTTGGAGAGGGAGAAACAGCACCAGCCCTCAAGTGACAGCAGATGGAGCTCACCCAGATCAGCACGCTGCCTCAGCCAAGGAATGCAGGTATGTAGGGCACTTTATGGCTATATTTACAGCATTGGTTTGCAAAGGAATCCAAGACATCCAGAACACCCCAGACTCCAGTTGTGTTAATGGCTCCCCTGCGCATTAAAAAACTTTTTGGGAAGTCTCACTCAAAAGCAAAAGTCAGCAGAACTGCAAGCAGCAATGTGCTCTCCCCATTTCCATTCACCTGCCAGACCCAGCCCAAGAACACCTTGCTGCCAGCAGCTCCTGCCTCTGAGGATGAGGTTCTGCTCTACTCCCTCCGCATGCTGTTCCTTAAGCCCCACAAAGCTTCTCCGCAACTACACAATGACTAGCAAAATTTCAAAAAATATTTGAGAACCTTGAGTCTACACAGAGTTTGTCTGCTGTGTGGGAGAGAAGGAGGAATGGAGACCATGTCATATCATGGAAAATGCCTGCAGCTGGTAATCTCAGGTTCCTAGAACACCCTTTGGTTCCTAGGGAAGGAGCTGCACCAGCAAAGACTGCTCGTGCTTTCAAAGTTTGTAGCCTTTAACATTCACACATCGATGGCTTCATGGGCTTGGAAAGGTTTTGCCCACCCGCCTGAAGAGGGTCAGAGTTACTGCACGTTTCACCGGGAGCGGGTGACGGTCACACAGCAGCGGCCCCAGCACGGAGCCGTGAGGAATCCGCAGTCCCAGACACCACAAGAGGGTGCTGCCAGCGGGGAGCGTTTCACGGAGATAAGGCTGCAGAACTGGAGAGAGGTGGGCACATTTTTGGGATGTTTAGCATTTTCAGACTTTCCCCTTGTAGATTAAAGGCCAGATTGTGCAAAACACTGAGTGCCCTCAGCTCCCATCAACTTCAGCCCAGAGGGATTCCAGTATCTCCTCAGCAGTGCTCCAAGCCTGGCAGGACCAGGCTCCAGTCACCTCTGGGTAATGATAGACAGGTTTTGAAAGGGACCAAGTAGCTGGCAGAACGGAGAGGAGACAGAAAAGGGTTGGGTGCTGCTCAGAGCATCCTCCCGAGCCAGCCCGTCTCCCTTCAGTGCGATAAACCCAGCGCAACGACTTGGCACCACCTCTTGCGACTGTGCCGCCGCGGCCGGATCTGGTGCTCTAGCACAGGCTACGGTCACCGTGGCTCCTGAAACCTATCAGGGGCACCAGGCACCAGCGCTGCCGCCAAGCTCCCCGCCAGCGGGACAGCACTGTTTGCCCCGCTTGCTTTTTCAAGCTGACGCTGACTAAATTCCTGCTCCCCAAAAGCAAGTGTTTCCGGAGCCTCATTTGCAGCTACCTCATCAGACACACCAGGACTGCTCAGAGAATGAACGTAAGGGAACACCTTCACGAGGGAACAAAGGGGTGATCTGCGCATTAACAGTCCTCCCCTGCCTTAGGTTATAACAGCAGCACAAAAGCACACACATGCCCGAGTCAGAGCATGCATCAAAGACCTGTGGAGAGCTTGTGAAGCCAATTCCACTGCTGCCGTTTATCTACAGCAACAAAACAAGGCTCGCACAGCAACGACTGCACACGTGCTGCAGGTACAGCTCTGTGGTGCGGGACGCACGGCCCTGCAGAGAGCTGCAAAGCCTCTCTCCGCATCTCATCCAGGAGACAAAAGAGGGGCTGGCTGCTCTCCTCTCCTCCACACCCCTGTAGCTGCAGGTGCACTGAGCCCAGCCCCGTATTGTTGGGGAGAGAGGCAGGCTGGGTCTGAACACACGCTTAACAGACTGCTGTGTCCAGCCACATTTTTTTTGTTCCACAAGTACCTCCTGCAACTAGCGCCGAGGCATTTCAAATACCATCTGTGATGTGTGCAAGCAGCTTAAAGAAAACAAGAAAGTATTTCATCAAGTGCTCAGGCACGGTCAGACTAATCAAGCTGGTCTGGCATACAGGAGCGTTTAATACCACATTGAGGTTGTTTGCAAAACCTGCTAGAGCAAGGAGAAGCCCCAAGCAGAAGAGAGTGATGCAGTTTGTACTAAAAGCAGTGGCCCAGGCTCCTTCAAGATGGTAACCTGCACACGATCTAAGCTTCTACCACTGCCTCCCAAACCACACCGGGGTAACGCCTCCAGTTTCTGTGATAACAGTGCAGACCTGTCTGATTGATCTTCCCGGGAACCTCCCTCCTGATCTGCACTAGCCTCTGCTAATCCAGTCCAAAGACTAGTATGTGGTCTGTGAAATACGAACAGGCCGTCGACTGGATGGAAGTTGTCTCACTTCAGCAGTGTTGCATCTTTAAGACCTCTAAAAATCCTAAAGAGAGCAGGGACTTGTTCACCTTTAAGAAACTCTCCCCAGATCTTCTGCTTAGAAAAGTTCCAGAGATAAAGACGTTTAATTCTTTAAATGGGAAGATTCAGCTCAAATTACAGTTGGGCTGAGTTATCCATGAGACAAGACTAATATGGCAATACCCTAGCCACAGCCCTTAGAGAAGGTGCCCGAGTATAACCAGGGGAAGTCTGAATTATCCCTGCCAGCTCCTGGCCTATCTGCACTAAGTGGAAATCACATGGCCCAGCAGTGACAGCCATAACAGACACTGTTTGGTGTGATGTGGATTTTTTAGGGGGTTTTTTGGTGGTTTTATGGGGTTTGGTGCTGTTTTTTTTTTTTTTTTCTAAAGACCAGCTGAAAGCATCAATTCTCACCGACCATAGTCTCACAAAGCAAAAATCTCATACACCATCCACCAATCCTGTCTGTCCACAGCTGAATCCCAGCCCTCAGTGAGGCATCAACATTCAAAGACACAGTCTTACCATTCACAGAGAAATGCCTTCCCCCTCCTTGCACCACCCCCACTCCTGCCAAAAGCAGGCAGGGATTCCCTCCTGCAGGTAGCTGTTGGACACACCAACGTCTGACAGATTGGATGGCTCACGGCAGAAGACTCCAGTAACTACACTGTTCTCAGCACATGTGTGCCCTGGCTAAGCACTGGCAGATCTTCTGAGTCCAAACTGGACTGTGTTCAGGAACGATGGTCAGACATTCATGAGACAACATCTGCTACATCATACGAAAATTCTTCCCTTATGAAGGGAAGAGACTCTCAGAGCACAGGCTCCAGAACATCCCAGGGTACAAAAACGAGCTTATGGGGGCACTTACCTATTACTGAGTTGCTATTTCTGTTGACAGGTTTGGGAGGAGGGACGGGAGGCTGTTTGGCAGGAGCTGTGCTGGTTGTACTCGTGGGAGCAGTAGTGTTGGCACTGGCGAGAGCAGGGGGCAGAGTCCTGGGGGCTGGGGAAGGGGCAACTGTGGAACTGACTGCCGCAACAGGGGCTGTGGTGGAGGGTGCAGTTTTTGCAGTGCTGCTGGCAGGCGTTGGATCCTTTGCCTGTGCTTCGTTTGCCTCCTGTGAAGTGGAGGGAGGTCTTTTGGGAGGAAGCAGAGGCTGTCTGGGAACATACAGCTCCTGAGGTGGTTCCAGTTCGGGCCCAGAGTGGCTGCTGGATGAGCCTGCAAAGTGAGACAGCTCAGTTTAAGAGACTGGAGGGCTCAGAGCACGGCGGGAAGAATCACAGGAGAATTCAAAACTGGTCCTGGGAGAATCTGAAGTGACCGATTTTGTACACATCTGGTTTCTTACCCTGCCTTTTCTTTGGTTCCTCAGCTGGAACAGGCTTCCTAAGGCTGGATGGCTTCGTGGCCTCTTCCTCCTGGCTGGCCAGGTTACAAACCCCAGGACCACCGATTGGGACTGTGTGGCCATTCTTCAGTGCAGGTGGGTTCAGCTTGTCTGGTTCTTCACCATCTGCAAGGGGACGGGAGGGGAGAGAAGCAAACAGAAAACGCTCAGAAAGCACGAGACGGAGGAGACATGGCTGAGCTGACTGAACCACCATCCATCCGCACCAACTTCTCTCTGGCTTCTGAAACAGCTGGTCTTCAGTCTACCTTCTGCAGAGGAGAGCACAGCAACACCGGCCAGCTGAAGCTGAGCACCCTTGATTTCATTATCAACAAACAAAACAGTACAGCACTGTATCCCACAAGTGTTTTTCTTCTTCAGCAGCCTCTTTAATCTACCACCTTGTTTAGAAACAATGCTACTGCCTTTAAAACTAGTAGCCCGATGCTGTGCCACAGCCCAGGGAAGTTGCAATCACAGTTAAACCTCCAGCAGCTTCTGTATCTACTCACCATTACAGAGCATTCACAAATTCTCTGCTGCAATACAAAATCCAACACTAGCCAAGTAATCTCCTGGACATGCAATAACAGATTTTGATAAAAGTCTTAAAATTAGTTGAAGCACCTCTATTTTCCTTCTGTTTCTACCCTAATTTGGCACAAAAAAAGTCACTGCTCTACCCAAAACATCCCACAGCAAGGCATATTTCCTCACATTTTTACCTTTGTTTTAATCAGATGTAATGATTCATCTCCAGAATCTGATGTAGTTCATCTTGACTATTTCTGCTTTTACAGATGGAGTTTTGCAGATGTTAGAAGCAAGACCTCTTTTGCAAAAAAAAAAAAAAAAAAAAAAACCAACCCCACCCATCCTCTTTTCAGCCCATGCCTTTGAGAGCACTTAAAGCCCTAGTCCCAGTGAGGAAATACTCAGCCATTCTCTGCCTCTCATTGCCCTGACAGGACAAACTCCTCATTCCCAAAACCAGACTTAGCATCCACTCTAATGGGGAACTGCCCATTTTGACTGCTTTCAAACTCAAGAAAAATAAATAGATACATCAGCAATTTGATTAAAAGTCCTTAACATTTTCAGGCTACCATCTCTCAAGCAATTGCAGCATATGGCATCATGGCCCCCCCAGGTGTCAGACCCCAGCATGCTCTCTTGCTCTGATTTTTGAGGATTTATTCCACTGCCCTCTTCACCTCTCCTCTCCCCGCCCCAAGGTATTACCTCCCCTTCCCGAACCTGGGAAAGCTGAAAGCAAGCATGCCAAGAAGCCAAAAACTCCCCAGGCTCCCTATTCTGAAAAAAATAGCCCTCGCTCCTGAGAGGAGATGGAAGACAGCTCTGCCTCACTTGCTTAGCTGCCCTTCCCCGAAACGCAGGAAGTACAGATAGCAACAAGAGGGAGTTTCCTCCCCAGCCCGGGCTGAAACTCAAGAGATGAGCCGGAGCTTTTTATAGCAGCAATTGCCTCTGGCTAGCTGAAGTTTACAGCAAGGGAGACGGGAACAGTATGATCTAGCTTTCCTTACCGTTTAAACCTTGCATGCCCTTCTCTGGCAGAGAACGCTCCTCATGGCCTTCTGACACCACCTTACTCTCGACTTCAGTTCCAGTGACCTCCTTCAAGGTCAAGAGAGCCCAACGCTGTCTTCTGTCCTTACTGTGAGCCCAGCACAACCTGCTGACCGTCAGCCCAGAGAGCAGCAGGGCCTCCTCTCCCAGCCACACCGGGTTTGAAAGCCTCCACTATGCCTCTTCCCTACCTCCTCGCTCACTCGTCTCAAAGGGGTTCCAGCATTTTCTCCCCTAAGAACTTGCCCAAGAAAGTTAACTGACCTTGAAAGAGTGGGTGTTAAAATGGCAAGCAAATACAATAACCTATCACCACCGTCTTATGACTGCCCAAGTGTCTTAAACTCACAGAAGGGATTAAGATAATGCGCTTTGTAATCTAACCCTCCCGACAACACTGACTGCTGCCTCATACCTTGGATTTGCACTTTGTCCAGATTATAGCCATCTTCTGTTTCTTAAGCCAGATCAGATGACTCAAAGCAGAAAATAATTCCATCTCTTAGCCACACTTCTGTTACACCCTTACAGTTTGGAAGATCTCTCCCCTGTCATCTCTAGTTGGAAGTTTGTTACCCAAAGGCTTCCATCTCTCCTCCACAGTTTCATCCCATGACCTCATACACTGTTGTACCCCAGTGAACTCTTCCTCCAGCCCAGCATTTACACCCTCAGGTAGTTGTAGATGGCTTTCATTGCAGTGTAGCTGCAAACAACCATGCTAACGCTTTTCCTCTCAGATCTGCTTTCAGTGGTTTGGTCTGAAAACCACTTTTTCGCCTCCACTTTTCCACTTTGCATCTTTCTTAGAAGAACCCTGAAATTTGCATTAGGTTAAGGCTGCCTCTGCAGTACGTTTTTTGAGGTGCAATTATATGTTGCTCTAAGCCAAAGACCGCGCTGCCACCCAGACAGGCGGGCTGCTCTCCCACCACGTTCCTGCCCTCTCCCTTGTACCCACATCACCCAACACGCAGCCAGGTGACTAGACGGTGAACTGATCCGCCTGAAAAAGTTATTTTAGCAGGATGACCCCGACTCGGAGGCATCAGGGATGACAGAAAAGGGGATAAGACTTCTTTGACAGCAGGGCAAGCTTCAATAAGCTTAGCTGTGACTAACTATGGCACCATACCATGAAGCATCTTGTCTATAATGCTTTAAGGAAATGCCCCTACCCAGGCAGCTCAAAAATCATCAGATGGTGTCTTTTTCCAAGCCTAAGGCCTTCGAACCTGAGCTCCGAGGTCAGCGGCTCTCCTGCAGTAGTTAGAGTGCAGTCTGGAGCGTGATCCGAACAAGCCGGAGACGGTGAGCGCAAGTGTGATGGAAGAGCTTAGCAGGACAAGACAAGGCGGCTGGAACGGGACATGTACAAGAGGGACAGGATAGGAAGTGACACACAGAACACCCCTTCCCTCCCCGCTGGCAGCAGGCAGGAAGACGTCCAAGACAGGCATTGCGCTTTCTTAGCAACATCTTCCTAACCAAACAGGCTGCCTCCCTTGCCAGGTGCAAAAGTCAGAGACGAGCGAGCATAGTGAAAAGAGCAAGACAGACAGGAACCACATTAGCAAAGAGCCCTTAAATTTGTCTCCCGAAAAAGAACGGCTGCAAGGGTGAAGTTTAGCCAGAGGAAGTCAGCTACACAGAACACAGACAGAAGTTCATTTGCAGACTCACCCTGCTCAGGGTCTTCCAACAGAACCCCTCTTTTTACCAGCTCCTCTCTTGGCTTTCGCATAGAAATCTTTCGTTCTAAAACTGATATTAAATCGAAAAAAAGCACTCAGAAAACAGGGCAAGCTAGAAGTTCAAGATGATTTTTTTTTTTTTTTTTAAAAGGGATCCTCTGGAGGAAATAAAAGGGCTTCAAATTTCACTGTTTTTACATGGATTAAGAGGAAGGAGGAGGGACTGCACGTTCAGGCCTGCACTTCACACTAGATTGGTGATCATGGAGCAAACCCTCCCTCCCCACAGCTGCTTGGGGAGGTTCTTTGCAAGAAAGGAATTTGTTTGTCTGAAACTACTGCTCCATGGCAAGGTGTTTCTGGAGAGATTGCAGGTGCCAGCCCATCACCAAAGTCACATTTTGGTTCTTGAGCGTGTCAGCAAGCCCTTCTCACTAGCCACATGGCTAATGGCAGGTTTCCCAAGTGGAGGAAGGGACTCCCACCCAGCCCCGATTACTCTACCTTCCGAAGTCTCCTTAAATTTGTCACTGCTTTTCTTTTTCCTCCACTTCCAGGGTTTGAAGATCTTGCCAAAGCTTGAAAACTTGCTTTTTCTCTTTGTAGGAGGTGTGGTGTCACCCGATTCCAAAACGTCTACCCCCATGCTGGCATCAGTTGGGGGGTGATCCACCTCTTCAGCTGCACAGAAAAGAATAAAGAAGTTACCTTTGCGCTGCAGAGAACAGCTGCCATCTCCCACCTGCCTGCCCCTTGCACATTGGGAACCGGTGGCACACATTCATGCAAAGAAGGTAGCAAGACTCCATGCCTTCACGTAACCCGTCAGCATTTCACATTAGCTTGGGGAGACGAGAGTAGGGTTTCTGATGTTAACAGTGCAAAGGGTAACCGGTAAGAGGCTTTCTAATGAAACCAGGATTAGTTTAAGTCACAGCTTCGCCCAAGGAACACAAATCACTTTGCTGCAGTTTCTCATCTTCAGTTGGAAGCAACTGGTGCTAGACACAAGTAATTACATGAACACAAATACCTTCCAGACTGCAGAGCCGACTTTCATGACTGTCTACACACAATGACATTACCAGACCCATTACAACAGCTGTATGAGCTAGAACTTAGCCTCTCTGATTTTTCCCTCTATAAATAAGGCCAGCAACACTGGCCAAGAGCAACAACTACACAGGAAAGCAACACAATACAGGCCTGCGCTCCACCTACTGTACTCGAAGTCTCTGGAGAACACCACAAGAAGGACATGGAGGCGGGAAGGGACACAAAAAAACCCCCAACTTGCTGTAACAAAAAAAAAAAAAGGTCATAAAGAAACAACTTGTGAAGAACAACCAGAGCACAAAACGCTAAGCTGGTGACTGCCAATTCTGGCTTGCCTGGTGTTGCTGTTTTCTGGGTATTTGATGAAACATAAGGGAACACTTACAATCAGCAGAATCTAGCAATGCCTGCAAAAAAAGAAAAATCAGAGCACACACAACCTAAGTGAAGCCAGCTGGTGGCCTGCTTCATGGTCTTAATTTACAGACCGAGAATCCCTTGGCTTTAGCACTGCAAAAGACAGGAGCACCCAAGCTGCGTCGCAGAACTCTGCGAAAACACGCAATATCGAGAACAGAGCTACAGTCCTACGATGCAGTCCTGCCAAACACCGCATACCGCAGGCTGAGGTGCCGTGTTACAAATTGCACTTGTGCGTCTTATTTTTGAGCCTCTAAGTCAAATGTTCTGGAGTTTGCAAGCCTTCTGGGATCACAAAAGACCTTTTAGTCAACTTCAGACGAGCCTGTATGACGTGCCTGCAGAGAAGACAATACCCTGTGGGCCACGCAGAAAGTTCAGCCAAGAGTCCCATCTCCTGAGGCTAAGAGATTGGGAAAGGAATTTTAGGGGAAAGCCATTTTGCACATAGGACAAAGAGCTAATAACATATCTTCTATACCCCACAAATAGCCACCAAGGATACAGACCCAGATGTGAAAAAGCAGATTCCTGTCAACATGGGGAAGAGCAGATTCAGGACAGGGAAAAAAAAAAAAAAACCACAAAAAAAAATGAGTTGTTTAGTGGAGCTCTACGTGCATCCCTGTAGTGCTTCCTAGGGTGACATTTCAGACCCCAGGAAGCGTCAAACGCACGGGGAGCCCCAGCCACGGGCTCCCAAGCAGCCTGAGGCCAGCTGGGCTGGGGACAGGCTGTCACTGTGCAACACTGCAGGACAGACAGACCCCAATTTTTCAGTCTGAGCACAAATGAAATGGAAGATCACTGAATAATAGGGAAGAGAAGAGCAACACAGACCATGCTAGCAGCACAAGGGAAGCCAGAGAGTATTTCGGTAGAGGATCTAGATCACATGCGAGAAGCGCACTCTTTAACCACATGATGAAAGAAGAGGAAAACCAGCCTAGGACTCTGGTTTACCGGGAAGCTGAAGTGGCAAGAAAGCACCACTGTGCTAACCAGCAGGAAAAAAAGGCTTTTCAAAGCTAATTGTGGCCATTTCAGACTTTACCTAAAATGCATGACCCTTCCAGCTCTGTACAGGTTTCTCTCACTCACAGGACTCCAGATTTCACACAGTGGTGGTTGATGGGTTTTTCCTCTTTGGTTGTTGGCTGTTTTGGTTTGTTTTTTTTTAAATCAGCCCCCTAACAGAAAGCTCACTCAGAACCAGTGAAGAGCTGATGCCAGCCAACATTTATTTGAAAAAGCAAGATCAATTCGGCATCTGAGCCGCTTCTTAAAAAAAAAAAATCTGGCTTCATAACGGGAGAGAAATTGGGTGGAAAGTAACATACAAGATGTCAGCACTGATCTGTGATTTTCTGCATCTATTCTGTGATTTTCTGCCGGGAGGGAGGGTGGGTGGAAGTGGGGGGGGGGGGGGGTGGAGGGGGGGGGGGGGAAGGCATTTCAAGCTCCCAGAAACCAGGAATTGTCTGGATGTTTAGAGGCACTTTCTTCAGAGACTAGAACATTAGTCTCTGAGTTGTACATGTAATTTTAAAAAGCGGTATTCACTTTGTTCAATAGAGCGTTCCCAAAGTTTACCAGGCAGGCAAGACCGCTTGCCAGGCACAAGCTGTGGACTGAATTTGGATCCCAAGTGCCACACAAAGGCATTTCATTTCCCTCACCTTTCCAAGGAGCAGTAACAGCACTGAAGGCAGTCGTACCAAGCTTGCTTCATACACATCGCTGACCTGAATTGCTCTTAGGAATGTAACTTATGTGCTGTCCGCCACCCAAGGTGTCAGAGTGCTGCACTAAGCAAAGTAAGTTATTAAAAGAAAACTCAACCATCAGGTCCACAGATTAATGAACAGAGACCTCAGCAAGCTGTGATGTCTCCATTTCCAATTAGAGGGAGAACGACAAGCATTCCCCCGCTGCAGTCACCTCCGAGCAGCTAGGGAGGAACAGCGGACATGAAAGGATGAGCCGAAACTGCGGGAGACACACGATATCCCCGAAGCAGGAGCAGCTAAAAGCAGGGAGGGTGGGGGAGAGCCCACATGGGAGTTTGAATCCAGGCGGAAGAACCTCTTTCAGCAGGTTCTGCAGTCCAGGTCTGGCTGTCAAATCAAATACCATCTCAGGGTGGAGTTTCACACCAGGTGCCTGACTGCCATTAATTGCAATCATGCAGGTTAATACAAAAGCTAGGTTTCACAATGACATTCAGCATCGACATCGAGTAACTCGGTTCTTGCTTCTCTGCCATGCTACTCCATCAGCCGTGCTATCAACGGCTTGCAGGCTTGTGCAACACGAACACTTTTCATGTTGTCTTGTCCAACGTGAAACACTCGGTTTTGCTGTTTTATAGTCAGACTTGTGTCTAAAAACAGCCATGCAAGAGGGGGAGACAGGCATACCAAGTACCCCTTCATAGCATAAAACCACCGCCCAAATCATTTTCACCGTCCCTTTTGCTCTGCGTAGAATAAAACTCGGTACACATTACTACACAGCGTGAACACCCCGAGACCACTGCAGCCCACGGGGCGATACCGATGCCGTGAAAGCAATTTCCCTCCCCAATACAAAATGGGATTCGTTCTGTCGAGTTCTGCAGCACAGGCTGCTCACAGGAGAGCTTGTAATGCCCTTCCACAGCACTCTTCCTTTTACCATCCGTAATTACCACACGGACATAGACATTTAAAAGAGTCTGTTGTGATGCAATTATGAATTGCATTTACTGCTAATTAGCGGGTGGATCAGCAGCTGTAGGTGTGCTTTACTGATCTGTATTTTAAGTAACCTCATTGTTCAGTGATTGTTCACATTAGATAGTGCTCATGCTCCCTCAGAAAAGGACCTTCCCTCCCATTTCCAGCTCAGATCGCCATGAAATGGTGCAGAGAGGACATTTCTTGCCCAAGCTGCCTTCACTGCGAAGGCAGCCTCGGCAAGGTGGATTCTCTGCGCCTCCTCTTGCTCTGCTCTACAAGGTACAGGAGGGTCCCTAAGTTGCTTTACAATGCAAGGCAGAAACCCCTCCTTATCCGAGTCATGCACTGGGAAACTGCTAAGAAACCACAGCGCAGCGCTCGGGGAAAGAAATGGGGCAAAAAAAGATGAACCGGACTTTAAGTGAAGGGTGAGAAGCGTCAGGAAGCTGACGTCCTCACCCGACCCGGCCCTTGCTCAGCACCACGGCTGTTTACCTGCATGGCAAGTCTGTGTCCAAGAGACCAGCTCCACCTTCTTCACTGCAGTCCCAGGCTGGAAAACCCATTTAAAATTTATGAAGAAGGTTAAATGGAGCATAGGTCTTATGAGTAACGGCTGAGGGAACTGGGGTTGTTTCATTTGGAGAAGAGGAGGCTAAGGGGAGACCTTATCACTCTCTACAACTACCTGAAAGGAGGTTGTAGTGAGGTGGGTGTTGGGCTCTTCTCCCAAGTAGATAACAATAAGACAAGAGGAAATGGGCTCAAGCTGTGCCAGGGGAAGTTTAGATTGGATATTAGGAAAAATTTCTTCACGGAAAGGGTAGTCAAGCATTGGAACAGGCTGCCCAGAGAGGTGGGGGAGTCCCCATCCCTGAAGGGGTTCAAAAAACAGGCAGAGGTGGCACTTTGGGACATGGTTTAGTGGGCATGGGGGTGTTGGGTTGATGGTTGGAGTGATGATCTTAGAGAGCCTTTCCAACCTTAATGATTCCTAGTTTTTACTTTAATTATAAATAATCCAGCCACCAAGCCAGGAAACATGAAATTGCTACTGTACCCATAATTGGTTTAGTGGTGGACTTGGTAATGTTAGGTTAATGGTTGGACTGGATGATGTTAAAAGTCTTTTCCAACCTAAACGATTCACTGATTCTATGAAATGAGGTCATGCAGGTGAACCCAGGGGAGTCCTCAGTGGAAAGTCAAGAGCTTTCCAATAAGTGAGTCCCTGATGCACCCCCATGCCAAAGCACGACTTGTGTTAACTTTCTGCAAGAACGACGTGAAGTACCTGCTTCAGAAAAGTGACCCTGAAGTAGGGAGAGCCCCTCAGAGCCCACCCTGACACCAGCACACCGTGCCTAACGCGCTGCCCTGCAGCACAGCCCTGCTTGAGAAAAACTCCAGAATAAAAACATCTACTGCAACTTCTGCGCATTGCCCCAGGCAAGCGTGGGTGCTTCTCCTGGAGACGACGTCCTGGAGCGCTCAACCTGCTGCGCCTCGGACAGACCCCCAGGACCCAGCTGGTCTGGGGAGCAGACTCGTGCCCTGGCTGCTATCTCCCAGCTTTCCTACCAGAGCCTGCTGCCTTTTCAGATCTTCTCTCCGAAACACTTAACTTGTCCTCATCCTGTTCCATCAAAACAAGCAGGTGAATTTGAGCTGTTTAAACAGCAGATCTGTGTTAACCCAAAATGTTTAGACTGAAATAGTCTAGGGAAACATCACAAAATTGGCACAGCCTGGAGACACAAGCAGGCAGAAAGCTCCAGCAGTGCCAAGCAGCTAGGGATGCGATTCTCCATCGGTACGCCTGGCCAGCTGGTCCTTCAAACCCTCCCCCTGCAGACTGCTACACACATTTACACTCAATTCTTGCTGTTAAAACGCAGGCAGAAAAAAAGCTCGTCTCCCACTGCACCTTGTGTTAGGTGCAGTTCTGTTGTGCAAGAACATGGGTGGTGGTGAGCTACTGCTGTAATGTTTTTTTCCAGAGAAACCATTTCAGTGGAAGAAGCTGGAGAGTTGCAGTTGGTCTCCAAGCTCGTCACGCAGTCAGCGTGTGGCTGCGGTGCTGCATGTGTCACCTGCTCCCAAAGCTTTTGTCGGGCTTGGGCAGCCATTCCTATTAAAGATGGTAACGCTTTCACTTCTCCTCCATTACTCTCGATGGGTCAAAACCAGCCAAGCCAGGATCCGTGGGGTCAATTAAAAATACCACACGTGTTCATACCATTGCCATGCACATGGGACACTCACAACAGCGAGCAGCCATCTAGCTGACCTTTAGGAAACACCAACACGTTAAGTGTAATGGTTTAATGGTCACACTGTGGTCTAAGGGAGGAAAAGCCTTCACGTGAGTGAATATAGTTAATCCCATCTTCAGAGCTCAAGCCCCAGAACACCCTTTCATACAGGATTGCACTACCAGCCTAGCAAAAGGCACAGCAGAGACTTCAGGTACCAACGTGAAGAAACAAAAAGCCTTTCCTTCATTAAGGACCATCTCTCATAGGGAAGATAGCTGCAACAGTACATGAGATAGCGGCACCTCTGATGCACGTTATTAAAAAAACAATAAAATTAAACCCAAGCTGCATGTCATGTAGGTCATTGCAGAATTAGTCCTGGTGAATTTTTAAACCATTTTAACTCAGGCCACACACCATCAAAAGCCGGCATAGCTATGGAGAAGTTTATTTTGTTTTTGACTGGCACACCGTTACATAAGCTAAAAATCACTTCAAGATCTAAGTTACAGACCCTGACAAAGCAAGACTGAAGGCTGTGAAGAAATCAAAGAATTGTATCCCAGATGCTGACAATTCATATTATATTGCTACATGCCTGGGAGGGAAACTACTTGATTTCCAGTGTTCATGAAGAAAATGGCACAATCCTTTAAGGATGAAGGGTCAGTGAGCCCCAGGACAGGACTGCAGACTGAAGCTGTTGGAAGACTGAGAACATGCTGCTTTTCCCCCTGAAATCTCTGCAGACATCCCAGAGTTGGTGGAGCAGACTTTAGCTCCAAAAGAAGATGCATCTCACCACTGCCTACGCTACAACAGGCTCTTTACCTCAGTCCTTGTCAGAGATGTTAAGATCTGTGAAATTCTATATTCATTAAGAGACATCCTTGCAAAGGAAACAAGAACACATCAGCGTTTTGCTTTGCAACAGGACTTGCACCGTGTGTGAATCATGAGCTTGAGCCAGATTCTTTCCATCTGCAAAACCACAGTTCACCTAGAACCTGATCCATCTCTTATCGTAGTAGTCACTACAGGATTTCCACAAATCCCAGGAGTTTCTCTTCACAAGGAGCTCACCAAGCATTTCTGTCTCACAGTCATAGCCTCAAGGCTCACAGACAGACAGAACCACAGTAGTGAGACTACGCTACAGCGAAAGACAGTGTAAACGCTTAGCTGAGAGCTAAAAAGCACTCAAGACAAATTAGGCGCTTCAATGCCACTGCAACTCTGAACACGTTTGCTTAATCACCTCTATTTTTCTTAAGTTACACAATTCTGCTATCGCAAGCGCAAAAAGGCGCATCGGGAACTTTTGCCGAAAACGTGACTGCTCGTTATACACCTAACGCCACTGCACCTTCAGAAGCGTGTTTTGCAGCACGGCCGGGACCCAAGGCTACAGCTACAACTGCCTCCCAACATGCACGGGATCCTCGTTGGCTAACGCTGTGGGACTGCAACAAACCCTCCCGTTGCCAAAACAGTGTTGATGCACAGGCTGGAGAATAATTCAGCTCCCTCATCTTGTGCCGGGCAGAGCAGTGAAGGATCCAAAAAGCTTTCAAGCAAACAGCTACAACTCAAATAGCAAACAAAGACTCTTTTGAGGCAAATGCCGTTAAGGTTAAAGTATCAAAAAAGCACTTTAGGTAAATGTTTCTAGCTTCCTATAACAGCTTTAAAAACTTCACGTGCATTTCCTGAACGGTCCAGGGAAGACATGAATCCTGACCTTAAAGCTAAGGCCTTAAAGCTCAGACCTAAAAGACTGCAGTCACAAAACAGCCTCAAATAGTCCCAGCGCTCGTCTGCCCTGTCTTTTGTACGTTTCTAATCACCATAATCTTCACAAGACTTTTCTTTTCAACAGCATCCTGCCAAAGTTAATGCAAGAACCATCTCTTCAAGTTCTGTTCATTCAGTAGGAACTACGCAAGCTGTACCACGAAAAAAGATGCCAGAATGCAAATGACGATTTGCAGAAACACCGGGTCTGCTGGCCTCCAGTCTCCGGCAAAGGACGATGTCATTACACCAAGTGAGCCCACTCCCCCGAAAATCACCACCGTCTCTGGTGCTTGATGACAAAGAGCCCAAGACTGAACAGGTCGGCTTCTAACAGTGCGTAAGTCCAAGGAAAAGATGCTGTTAATCTCCATTGACAGTACGAAGACTCAAGTTTTACTTGTCCCTTCCACTTCCTCAATACCACTTATTTTTAGCAGCTCTTGAACAAGACTAGCTGGATTGAACTGGCGGCAGGGAAGAGAATCACTGGTTTAATCTGAGCCCTAAAGATACTTGGTAGGCTCAAAGTTGTAAAAGTGAAAAAGAATGAAAGAAAAGAACCTGTATCTCAGGGAGCTCTCCATGTGCAAGTGTCAAGTGTTTCTCTCAAAACCAGGTAATTCCATTTCACAGATGAGAGTAAGCAGCTCAGCCCAGACAGCTGACAGCGAGTTGGTATGAGATAAAGGGAACAGCATGATGCGTAAAGTCTCCTCTTATAGTCAGTGCATCACGGTCCCAGCGCTGGGAACAGCACCTAAGACAGAGACCTGGAAATAACGCCGACCTACACACAGCGTTCTGGAAGTAGTGCTACTTCCAGGACTTAAAGCAAGGTTGTGTTTGCTACAGCCTGCCAGTTACTCACACACCTCGGAGCAGAGAGGGGAAACACGCAGGAAGATGACTGCCAAGCCCCTTCTCCCCCCAAAGCTGCTATAGCTGCCCCAAAAAGCTGGGTGTCATCCCCCACGAGGAGGCAATTCTGGGCAGCTTTGATCCAGGCAGACTACGGGGCTGGCTCCTACCCCACTCAGGTGAGTTTTACCGCTGTCCAAGCGCTTTGCAAAGCTAGTGTCCCTGAACCGGCCGTGCAAGACAGAGGCTATCCCTAAAACCCCAGCTCGGAGTCTGCCTGAAGATCAGCAGAACACGTTGCACAGCAATTGCATGTGACATGAGTAAGAGAAAGGAAGGAAATGGAGTTATTTCTCTGGTTTCTCTTCCCAGCTCCCGAGCCGGGCGCAGGTTACACAAGCCCCGCATTCCAATCCTCCCGACTCCTCCGTTTCACCTGCAATCCTGCCCTGCCGCAGCCCCAAAGTTTCCTCCGTCTCCCTTGCCCTCCATTACTCACCAAAAGCAGCTGGATTTACCGGTCTCGAGAAGTGTGGCTGCCCCATGAGATTCTTTTCTAAGCAGCTCTCCGGGAGGAGGCGAGAGGGGGAGAAAGGAAAAAAAAAAATCTACCCTGAGAGCACACTTTAGTCCTTTAAAATGATAAATCCACACTTCGGACTGGGAAAGGGCCTGGCAAGCAAGGCGGCTGCCAACTCTCAGGCAACGGCACGGGTGTCCGACGCTCCAGCGCAGGTCCTGTTCTCCCCGTACCCCATGGCCGGGCACTTGATTCTCATAAATAGGCGTCCGTGCCAGCTCCCTTCACGCAGGCATGCCTGTCATTCCACAGCAGAGCTGGCTAGGGCCGAAGCTCAGGAAGGGGAGGAGACAGCCAGCCACGCTCCAGCCACTTAGCTGCATAATCCAAATCATCAACACCCCTCGCTCCTTCCTCGCATCAAGTTTAGGGAGAAGAGAGAAAAGCTGGGAGCGAGGAGAGAGGGAGACCAGGGTGTTTTGCTCAAGGCAGGGCTTGGAGGAGCCACGCGCGCCAATGCACGGAGGGGTCTCACCTCCCAAACGGGATCAAAGAGGTAATAGCATACCTGAGCCTGCAAAATACAAACCAAGGCGGTGATGAATGAGAAAGCGTGGTACTCTAACTGCTGTAGGAGCTGCACTATCCCGAGAGTAAAGGGAATTTCAAAAAGAGTGCCTGAGCTGATATGCATCTAGCCAGACGTACAATACAAAAAACAATTTCATAGCAATTCCTCTCTCCACTAAAGTTACCAGGAAGAAGGTAGGAGAAGGGAGCGTGTCTCCTCATTTAATTTAAATTTAAGAAAGGAAAATTTAAATTTAACATGGAAAGTAAGAGTTTATTTTTTATTTGTGTGTCACATCTTGATGGTTAAAGGTAACAAATATCCCCCTCAACATTTGCGTCACAGTAAGAAAGATCTCCAGAGTTTAAATACGTCCACTTGGATTCTTTAATTTTTCAATCAAAATTTGTGTTAGGACTTCAGTGAACCTACAGATCATTTCCAATCCCTGTATACCACACCACAGAGGAGTGGGAAAACTTTTAAACATCCAGAAGCTTAATCTTAACTCAGGGGAAAAGGAAAAACAATTTTCAAAAGCATACAGGAATTTGCTGCAGCATCACACCAGTGACTGATCAGGAACTTGAACCCATCTGCCGCATCCAGGTTTGTTCTCTCTGCTGTAGGAAGGGCTGTAGGAAAAAAGCAGCTTTAAACCCAGCAAGATTTGCTACAGCCCTCAAGGTCCCTGTCCTTGTCAGGCCAGCAGCCGCAGTACTTCAATATCGCGATGAATATTACTCAGGCAGCCAAGAAGAGTGCAGGACAGGCTCACTACTGCAGCGGTCCCAACAGTAAAAATCTTCTATTCTGGGAAACAACAAAATCCAAGGTTGTCAGTTTGGGCTGGTGCAGCTGGGAACAATCAATGCTGCACATTAGTCAGAACAGACACCCAAAGTGAATGCCCACTTCACAGCGGTGGAGATGGCCCTCCACAACCGCATGTCGCAGCGGGAGGCAGTTCTGCAGCCAACACACCCCAGAAAAGGGAAGGGGGTAGCTTTGAAATCTAATAAAACTCCACCTGAGCCACAAACACACCTGGAAGATGTTGATGCTCTTGGTTCCTCCACTAACATACTAGACATGCAAATCCATTCCTCTCTTCCGAAGCAGAGCCGTAAGAACACGGGAGGAAGCGGGACACCTCTGCACCTTCTCCACCACGAGCACCCTGCTCGTCCTTAACCCCTGCCCGCTGAGCAGATGACCACCACCCCCATGGACAGCGAGAGCACAGCAGCAGGAGCAGGTGGAAGAGCAAGGGATCAGCAGAAACGTGGAGGCGGAGGAGCAAATAGCACTCTCCTCCCTCACGCAGAACATATGGACGTTCCTGAAAGCGTTGCTCTTCTCAGCCTCCCACCACCAGACATCTCTGTGCTCGGAAGAGGAGCCCGCATTTCTGCCTGGTCAGCCAGGGCAGTCAGTCTTCCAAGCACTTTTGATTTTCATTGTGGGCAATTAACGCACTGATTCACAGGCATGCTCCACCTCATTTAAGACTCTTTGCTTTGAAAGAAAGAAAAAGCCATTTTAAAGCCATTTAAATACGCTGCCATCTGGCAGGGACCCACAAAGTTCGGAGATAGAGGCTGGAAGACTTCTCCAAGTCTGTAAATCAGCTGTCCAGCTTGGACGGAGGTCTGGAAGAAAATCTTCCTGCATCTGGGAACGCTACAGAATGCTAAACACCGCATCTAGGTTTGCCTGACTTCCAAGGAGATTAAAGCCATTGCATTTTATATTGCATTTGCTGTGAATTAAGAGTGCACAAAGCTCTGCTGCAGAACAGATGACATATGGTAGCTTGTTAAAGCACAGCAGCACAATCGTATGCCTGACCCCTTATTTCTACATTAGTAAAACTTGAAACATTAGCTTACATTTCAATGAAAGATATTTAAACCAATGCATTTAGATTCACAGCAGCTGCAGCCCAAGAGGATGCACAACAGTTACTCGGGCTCTGGTGCTGCACAGTAACTCCCCAGGTTGTGAGAAGGCAATCATGCAATAAAACCCTTTCACGTTTCGGTATTGTTGATCAGGCCTCACAAGCCATCGCAGCGAGAGTAACAAGACTATTTAGCAAAGGTACTTGTAAATAAAATTTGTACCAGAAGCATTAATATTTGCCTCCGAAACACAGGGCTGTGGTGCTCAAGGAGCAGAGAGATACAAATCTGCATTTCAAATTGCAACTGGGTTTGGACTTCAAACATCCTTTAGAAGTATAAGCCACAACTCTCCCCTCTTCGGGGTAGAAAGAGCAAAAAGCCCACCAGAAGAGGGGTGACAAAACGCAGAGAACAGCACAAATCCAAACCAAAACTAACACCAACATCATCCTTTTCAAGGTGGACTCCTGGCCAGAAAAACCTGCCAGTCCTTCCTTCACTTCCAGCTCTGGAAAGAAAGGTGCAAATTCTGCACCAGCGGACACAACACAAAAAAAGAGTTCCTGTCTCAACTCTAGCCCAGGGCCAGAGCATAAGAGCAGCCATACTTACGGTGCTCTTCAGCAACCCTTTGCATCCACAGCGCTTTGCTTCACAGCTGGGGAAAAATACAGAACAAAGCAACCTGCCCATGTTCCCTGCCAGCAGCACGTGACGAGCACAGAGCACCGATGCTTGGGGTTTAGCACCCAGACTAGTAAGGTTGCTTCAGCTCTTCCAACAGCAGTAAGGAGACAAAACCTCAGCCCCCATCCGACTGCACATCTAGGATGAAGGCAAATCCACATTTCAAGCAAGGACAAGTAACAAATGTCCAAAATTCCCATAATAATGCAGAAGGGCCATGTGACACAGCAACAGCCAGAAGAAACCAGAGTAAAGCCTTCACTCCTCAGGGATAGGTGACCTTTATGAGAAGAAAGAGCTCGGAATAGCAAAGAGCTTTCTACAGGAAAGCAAAAAGGGATACGGCTGATACTCCCTTCAATATGTTCTTCTAACAATGTAGTAACCAAAAAGTCCCAGTTACATGAGAATTTTATGGGATTTCAGGAGAGTCAGATGGCCAAAACAAAACGGCAAGACAACTGGTTACAGGCAGTAAACGCCCAAGAAGTGGGGTCCATCGCTTTCCTCTGAAGTTTCATTTCCTCTCCATCCAGACCAGCATCCCATTAAAAACCCGGCATTCAAATGTTAATAGTCTGTTTGTATACATTGTGAAAGGAACTCTTCTGGATTGTTTCACTTTAAAATCTAATGAAACCCATAATGAGCACAAATATTAGCTCCTCTAATAAAGACACTGTTGTTCACATCTCAGTTCACACCAACGTGAAACACCGCATGCATCTGTGGTGACTCAGACATTTATGTTCCATGATTCAGCCACAGGAACATTAAAAAGGACTCTTGCATTATCCCATCCATGCAGACGGAGCTGTCTATTTAAAACCAGTGATACTGGGCGTTTTCCTTTAGAGCCCATCAGCAAAACAGTCAACAGTAGCTACAGGATGTTTAAGGCTCTTTTGTTGCTGGAGATGCACCCACCTGAAATGCGAACGCAGGCCCAGGACACCATCTTACCAGGAGAGCTGGCAGGGAGAAGAAAAAGTAGCAGCACCACGACTCTGGGTGCTTTTCACCACAATCTCTTTGCTGGCAATCCTCAGCAGCTTTGGCAAAACAAGGAGAATATGAAAAAATATATTATATATACGTAACAGCTCTGGCCACCTCCAAAGATGACCATTTCTGGGCTGTGCCCCGAAAAAGAGCACGTGGAAGAGTTGTAGTCAATCTGAAATCTCTTCCTTTCTCCTCACATGGTATTAAAAGTCAGCCCGATACCCGGTGTGGAAATGGAAAATGGTTTATTTATAAGCCAGCTGGCATCGCATTGTTTAGGTTCTGTATACTTTGATGAAAGGGCGCTGGTTCGGATGAGACAGAAAAGTGAGGTAACCGCTCCTAAACCACATGATTTCCTTCATGCTTCCTGTGACATTTCCAAGAGGGAAACTCCTATTTCCCAGAGCATTCCAGTCCCCCTGTCCCCACCAATTAGTCATGGCGATAGCGGCTGCTCGATCGCAGGAAGCAAGGGTCGGCGGATCTAGGACACCGGGACTGTCTTGGTGCCACCCCGTGTGTGCTGGTGGTGGGGAAGGTGAGCAACCCATGTCCTACAGCAGCCCAGATGTTGACCGGGATGGAGCACAGCTGGAGGAAGAACAGTGCTCCGGGCTCAGCAGCAGCTTCTGCCAGCGAGCTGACTGATGTTCAGCCTCACGTTTAGGAAGGGAAAATAAAGCTGAGGACATGCCCTTGTAAAGCCTCATGATGGCAGCGGGTGGCTGGAACACAAGGAATTGCTTAATTAACACAAGGAATCGCTTAATTGTCACAAGGACCAGGCTAAAGAAAATTGCATAGTAGGTCTTGGGGCCAAGAGGAGCCTAAGGCCAAAATATCCCCCAGCCT